CAAACCTGAACACTGCTTTTGAACCTCACCATCCTTGCCTGGGGATGTGCGCCAGAGAGGTGCTTGCTTGCTCCTTGCTCAGCCAGAGAGGTAGACATTCCTGTGGGTTCTCCCTGTGGGGTTGGCTACACTCACAGTGCCCTTCCCTGTGTGATGTGATTTGCAGCCTCCTTGCTGGACTGTGCAGATGACGACTATACCCTGGGTGCTCTTGAACACAGGTCAGTCTCCCCGTCACGTTGCTACTCACATCGCAGTGATCCACAGGAAGTCTTACTGATTAGATTCACGGGATGGTCCCTAAAAACCCATGCTGGCTTGTCCCCTCTTGTCCTGGAGGACAGCCCTGCCCCTTCTCAGGGGCCCATGCAGAAACTTTCCCTTTGCCTCTGGGTTTGCTCAGTTCTCCTGGCTTGTCCAAGAAGCTTCTGTGACCAGGATGTCTGCCCTGCCTCCCTCAGAAGAGACTGATGACTCTGTACCCCGCTGTTATTTCGAGCTGGGATGTGGGAATTCTTTGTGCAGTTGGTGTAAACAGGGACTCAAGCAGAGCTCAAAGGCAGCATGAGAAGCTGAGCAAGAGTCCTGTCCCTGGAGGTGGGAGAGGGCACCTAGCATTGGAGTTTGCTGCAGGAAGTCAGCAGGTGCCCTTTCTGTAGCAAAGCCTAAGTGTACTGAGGTAATGTTGCATCCATGGGTGAGACAGCTCCTGGCAGAAGCATGGCGTGTCTATTTGGGGGTGGTTGCAGCCATGGTGGCCATCAGAGCTCTTTGCTCACCTGTCAGGCATCGAACTTGTGCCTCCATGTGGGCAGAGAGGGCAGCTGCTGCTTGTTGTTGTGTTCCCGTGGCCACTGTCTGCCAGGGAGGATAGGACAGAGTCAGTGGGAGCCAAGAGCCCTGTTTTTGAAGCTCCTGTGCCTTCACCCCCAGCAGGCTCAGTCCTGAACTTCCTGAGATGGAGCAATTTGGTATACCAGCTGGGTCAGCAGTGACTAGCCTTTGTTCGTATAGTCTGACCACACATGTGGCAAGCTGCTACACTCAAGTATATTCCAACAAGGGTGACCTTGTGCAAGAGGAACAAGTCTTCATGTCCGTCAGGCTCAGTGGTGAGTGTTCTCAGGCCAAAGGATTCCCGATAGGCTCAAGTCTCTCCCAAGAGATAGGCATTTGTTTATCCTGCAGAGCCTATATCAGCACAGAAGTTCAATGCTGTAGGTCCCCTCAGTAGAGAGTCTAACACACATTTCAGAGAAATGGGGGTCTGCAGCTTGGCCAAGCCCCTTGCCATTGGGTCATGTCCTCGATTTCCCCAAGCCGTCTAGCCTCAGCCCCTCCTAGCCATGAACTGCTGGCCACCACCAGTACCACTGGGAAGAAATGGATGCCCGAAACCTACAGCTCCATCCATTGTGACACTCATGCTTTGGTGACACTTACTAGTCTCAGCCCTGAACATCGTCCTCTGTGTCCACTTCCTTGTCAAGGAACACAGTGCCATCCAGCATTCCTCATGCACCGTGGTTTCAGCTCACCAGGCTTCTGAGGCCCTTCCATGCACAAATGGCCATTAGATCCAAGGGCCCTCTGTCAGGGGCCACTGACATACAGGGATTCTGGAAGGTTCCAGAGGTCCAGGTGAACCAGAGGCTCTCTGCACATGTCATACTCCACCCAGTGGCCATTCAAGACAGAGGGCAATGTTGTGCTACCTTTCCTTTGGATGGGAGAGGGCTGTTACAGAGGCCAGCCAGGCTCTGGGTGCTGGAGATAGTGGGGCTGCTGAGACATGCTAACGATTGCACACATTCAGATCACAGGGGATGTGCATGGTTTCCTGCCCTATTGGCCAGTGTAAGACTTCTGATTCTCCATCAAAAGAGACAGGGGTGGTCAATCCTCTGCAGACACAACCAGCTGTTCCTGGGAGGTCCTCAAGTTAGCAGATGGCATCCTGGACCATGTAGCTTTACCTGTGGCCATCCATGTGGCTGAGTGACCCCCTGATGGTACCTTTCCCTGTTTGATGTAGTTGTCCAGACATTTGCTGCTCCGGAGGAAGCTGATTCTCCGCAGTCCAGGTAAGTCTACAGACCATGTGGCGGCTTCAGTGCAGGTATCCATGCCGAGCTCTGTCCTGGGAGACACAGGACAGACCACAGGGACCCATGGCACTCACGCAGGCCTGTCCCCTCCTATCTCTAAGGATAGTGTCAGGGGAGTTGACATGTAGGTTCCCTCTGCATACTGCCACTTTCTACCTTAGAGTAAACAACTGTGTGGGCTCAGAGCCTCTGGCTTTCCACATTGAAACAGGACTCAAGGGGAATCACGAGGAAGAAATGAGGGTCTGAGGAAGCAACTTGGGAGAGGTGAGGGATGGGGCAGGGGCTGGAAGTATGGGGAGTTAGGCTCTCAGCAGGAGGTGCATTTGCTCTAGTGAAGCCTGTGGAATTCAGACCCTGCTCCATCTCAGGGAGAACCCATAGCTTCAGTGGGACTCCTGGTGAGACAGCAGGGAGGGCAGTCGTGTTGGTCAGCAGAGCTCTTTGCTGCTTTGTTGGGCAGGCTGCCTTTGGGCCTCACACCTATTCTCCCCCCACTTCTCTGTGTCTGGGTCTCAGACTATGTCTCCAGCAGCCCTTCAGAATCCCCATAGTGGCAGGAAGGGGAGCTGCTGCTTGTGCTATATTCCTTTGGCATCAGGTATACTCTGACATGACAGGAGGCAGGAAAATGTCACTGGGTGTCCAGTGTCCCTTTGGTGAGACTCCCATGCCTTCATACCCCAACAGAGCATGCCATGAGCAGCCTTGGCAGGAGCAGTGTGATGGCCCAGCTGAACACACAGAGAACAACTACTGGGCATGTTCCGTAGCCACTCATGTGGCAGCCACTTGCTACCAGGTTTCCACCAGTGGTTACAGCATTGTGCAAGAAGAACACCACTCCATGGCCATGAACCTGATAAGTGAGTACTCCCAGGACAAAGGGCTACCTCCCGTTGTGACCTCTGCCCTGCTCCATAGCAGGGTGTGTGGACACACAGGTCAGTGGTGTGAGAACACAGATGAGGATCTGACACACACACCAGGTGATTGAGGATCTAGAGCTTGCCCAGGCTCTAGTCAGTGGGTCATGTCTGGGATCCCACAGCCACTCTGCATGAGAAAAGACATTCCACCACAGCCTCTGTGCCTTCTACACATAAGGTGCCAGCCAGCACTTGTCTGGATGATGTGAAAGGGAAACCGGAGGCCCATGGCCTAACCCAGCGTGACATTTATTGCTTTGTGACACTCTCTTAGTCAAGGCTCTCAGCTTTCCTGTCTACATCCACCTCTCAGGAATGGCACACAGTTCCCTCCAGCAAGTCCCCTGTGCTCCAGCTTCCCAGATGAGTTCACTGAGCTCACTTGTCCTGTTGAACACTCACTGTCCTCACAGTCCATCGAGGGGCATTAGAACAGAGGCCTCTGCCCAACAGGTGTCCCAACCTCCAAGTCTTCTGAAATGAATGCACTGGGTTCAGCAGACCTCTAGAAGGTTCTGTCATGCCCTCAGGATTCCATCTTTGAGCATCAGGTCTGAGGCCTCATCTCCACAGGCACCACTCCTTTCCTGGGTTCAGAACAGAGCCCCAGGCTTTGTAGAGTTCTTACGTGCAGCCAGTGGTCATGCACAGGCACGGCACACTGTTCCTTTGCTTTTTTGTGTTGGATAGGAAAGGGTGATGTTACAGAGGAGTGACAATCAGGAGTTAGGCTGTGGTTGGAAGGAAACTGGGGTGTGGGTGGGCAAGAGGCTCTAATGGTTTCTACAGCCTGCAGTCACAGGAAGAGTGTGTGTGGTGTCCACACGTGAGCCATGTATGGGGTCCAGGGATTGCACTGAAAGCAGACAGACAGGATCCATGGCCTCCTCAAAAGGCTTCATTATCCCCAGGCTAACGGGTGGCTGACCTGGATGGTCAGGACGTCCTGAGGTGGTCGCCATGTGGTTTCCTGAGTGTCTCACTGTGTGTGCTTGTCCAATGTGACTTACAGTTGCCCAGACATCTGCTGATGAAGAGGACACATACTCTGATTCTCCCCAAGACAGGTAAGTCTCCAGACAGTCAGGCCACTCAGTTCCTGGGATGCTCATGGAGTCTCAGTAGTGATGGACGCAGGATGGGACCCATGGTTACATGGCACCCATGCTGGCACATCCCCTGCCGTCTCTGACTTCAGCTGTGTACCCCATGCCTGGCATCCTCACCTGGTGCATTCTGGGTATTCCCACTCTCCTCCCTGGAGACAAGGTGTGCATTGGTTCTGATCTAGTAGTCCTGGCTGGTGGTACTTGAGGCCTTGGTGGGCTACTCCACCTCTATGAGGAGAGGCTGATCCCCTTTAGGCTGTGGTCATCCCTCATGCATGTATGGGCAGCCATCCTGGGAGCATGAGCCAGGAAGCAGGGGCTGAGCAAATTGCCTGGTGCCTTTTTGGGTTCAGAGATGGATAACCTGAGAGGTGGGCTGCTATAACTGTTCATCAGGTGCACTTGTTGCCTGGTATGCAGCCTGGTGTGCATCCTGTGGTCATGTTTGACCACAGCAGAAGTAGGAGTCCCGGTGGACGTCAGGTAAAGGCAGTCCAATTGGTCCTGGGAGCCTTAAGCCCACTTGTCAGGCAGGCAGACATTTCCTCCTCTCACCTGAGCTCCCCCAGCCTCTAAATCTCATTCTGCATTCGTATCAATTTGAGAACCTTCCACTGGACCTTGAGGGAAATTGCTTTTGTGGTTTATTGTTCTGAGCACAGAAATTCTCTGCCAACCTGGGAATGCAGGAAGAACTCAGCCAGAATTGGGTGCCCCATTCATGAACATTCCTTGCCTCACACCCCAGCAGGCCCGGCCATGAACCGCTCTGGATGGAAGCCGTCGAGGTTTGCACTTGGACCACTGGGGAAGCCTGGGAGTCACAGCCCGTGACTGTGCAGGAGGACATCGAGCCCCAGCAGATGTTTGATATCAGCACTGATCCCAGCCAAGAGGATCACCTGGCCCAGGCCATCCTTCAGGGTGGTGAGTCTCCCCAGGAATGTGGGCTCACTTGACACTCAGGGTCTCTCCAGGAAATTCCTCCCAGGCTGGGCTGCTGCCTCCTGCCCTGTAAGTGTGAGTCTTAAGTCAATGTGTAATGTATAATCTACAGCACAGCCTTATTAAGTGGGGTCTACAGTTTAGCCTAGCCCCAGTTGTTGGGTCGTACCTGATCTCTGCACCTTCACACTTACATTGTCGCACAGCCCAGTCTGTGCCTACAGCCCCTAAGTCTCATGGCCATCACCCAGCCGACTGCCTAGCCAGGAATGTAGTGTGCTGCTGCCAAACCCTGCCAGATACTCATGGCCTTGTGACCCTTTCTGAGGGCTAAGGCCCATAGCTTCTGCAGGCATATCCAGCTTCCAGGCGTTGGGCTTAGTTTTCTCTCCTGAGGACTCTGACGTCTGACGTCTGCCTTCTGACATGATGTGGCTGGATTCAGGTAGTAGAAGGCTGTGCCATGCTTTTCTTCTATCTTCAACAGCAGAGCTCTGAGCTGAGGCCTCTGTCCCACAGGAGCCACCTACATGCAAGACTTCCAGGTGTTCCAGTGAACATTTGTGGCCCAGCAGCTCTGCTCATGCCGTGCCTCCAACTGTGGGCATCGCATGTGCACAGTACTGTGCATATCTACAAAAAGAGAGAGAGTGTGTTGGTTTTCAGAGTCAGGTCTCACAGACCAAAGTTAGGTTGTTGGCTGGTCATTCAAGTGCAGTTCAAAACTGGCCTGAGGGATTGCACCCCCTCAGGGTTCAGAAGTGTGTGCTGCCCTGACCCAGTGAGGAGATGCCATTTGCCTGGCTCCCATGATATATCCAGACCAGGCCAGTGGCTTGGAAACTTGCCCTCCTGGTTCCTGGATGCCCCAGAGCCAGGAGGCTGCTCCTTGCTCAGCCAGAGTGGAGGAGATCTTTTGGGGTCATCCCTATGTGGTTGACTTCACTCACTGTGCCCTTCACTGTTTGATGTGATTTACAGCTTCCTTACTGTCTTCCGTGGATGACGACGGTGCTTTTGATGCTTCCCTGAACGTGTAAGTCAACAGAACCTGTGATCCTCACATGGCAGGGTTCTGCATGGAGTGCCATTATGGACCTCAGGGACTCAATATGGACCTCAAGGATCCATGGAGCCCTCGCAAGCTCGTCCCTTCCTGAGTCATTGGGACAACACTGCCAGCATCCCATCCCAGACATCCTCTCCTTGACTGGTTATTCCCACTCTCTGACTGGAGACAGCATCTGGGCTGGCTCTCATCCATAGTGCATGCAGACAGTTCTTCAGGTCTTGGCAGCTACTCTACCTCTGTGAGGGGAGGCCGAGCCCTATTTGTGCGGTGGTCATTGCCCATGCATTTGTGATCATCCTCCGTGGCTGGCATGAAATGTGACTTGAGGAGAGCCTTGAGCAAGGAAACTAAGTCTCAGGAAATGGCTTGAGGCATGGACTGGGCCAGAGTGGAGAGCCTGAAGTGTAGGCTATTTAAGCTTTTCAGCAGTTTCACTTGTTTTATCGAGGCATGCAGCATAGAAGGGATATTTGCTCTTAGGGGACCCACAGCTGGAGCAGGACATCTGGTGGGCAGCAGGGGGAGGCAGACCCATTGGTCATGGGAGCCCTAGGCTCACTTGTCAGGCAGACAGGCTGACATTACCTCCTCTCACCTGATCTCCCCAGCCTCTTCATTTCTGGCTGCACTTGCTACCAGCTCAGGAAGCTTCCACCTGGACCTTGAGGCAATTGGTTGCTTCTTGTTCTGACAACAGACTCTCTGCCCACCTGGGAAGGCAGGAGGAGTCAGGCAGAGTGCATTGCCATGATCCTCAACATCCTTTTCATCACCCCAGCAGGCCCAGCCATGAACCACCCTGGATGGAAGCAACCATCGAGTTGTCTGGCTGCACTGGAGAATCTGGGGAAACTCAGCCCGTGACCCCCATGGTGGCAGTAGAGCCCCAGCAGTTGTTTAGCATGAACAGTCTCCCTGTGCAAGAGGATTACCTGTGCCAGACCATCCTTCAGGGTGGTGAGTGTCCCTGGGGACATGGGCTGCCTTAACTGAGACCATTTGGGTTGTGGGCCGGTAGTGAGAGTAGGGTTGCAAAAGTGGCCTTGGGGAATCACACCCCTAAGGGTGCAGGAGATGTGTGAGCTGCCCTCACCCATTAAGGAGATAGCATTCCTCTGGCTCCCATAAACATATCAGGCCTGAACACTGGCTTGACACATTGTCCTCCTGGTCCCTTGGTGTCCAAGAGCGAGGAGCGTGCTCCTTGGTCAGTTAGAGTGCAGGGCATTTCTTTGGGTCAAATGCATGTGGCTAGCTTCCCTCACAGCAATCTTCCCTGTTTGTTGTGATCTGCAGCTTCCCTACTGTCTTCCCTAGAAGACGACGATGCTTTTGATACTCCCAAGATCATGTAAGTCTACAGAGCTTGGTGCCTCTTATGTGGAAGATCCTCATAGAGTCGAAGTAGTGGGAGATGCAAATCAGGACCCAAGAGCCCTGTCACCCATGCTGGATCACCCCTTCAGGTCATGGGGACTACATGGCCATCCAATTGGGCAAGCCCGTGTGGTCTGCTCTGGTTATTCCTGCTCTGTGCAAGGAGCCGTTATCTGGGTTGGCTCCAATCCAGCAGTCCTTGCTGGCAGTCTTGTAGGTTTTTGCAGCTACTGTGTGTGTATGAGGGGAGGCTGATCCATCCCTTTTTGTGCTGGGGTCATTTCCCATGATTTGTGATCATCCCCCCAAGGATGACATGAAATGTGAGTTTAGGCCAACTTTGAGCCAACATGCATGGTTTGAGGATATAGCCTGGGGCCTGCACTGCACTGAGCTGGCAAGTTTAAGATGTGGCAAGCTCACACTGTTCAGCAAGGGCACTTGCTGTAGCCAATGTGCAGCCTAGAAGGGACTTTTGCTCTTGGGTGTGGCTGACCCTCAGCTGGAGCAGGACTGCTGGTGGTCAGCTGGGGGAGGCAGTGCCACTGGTCATTTTCTCCTCTCTCATGCTCTCCCCCAGCCTTTCTCTCTGCATGTCTGCATGCACCTAGCACCAGCCTCTGGAAGCTTTCACCTGGGACGGGAGAGAAATGGCTGCTTGTACCCTCATTCTCTTGCTACACAACCCTTCTGCTCACCTGGGAGGGCGGGAACGATTCAACCAGAGTGCACTTCCTGGTTCATGAACCTATTTTGCCTCACACCCCAACAGGCCCAATCATGGACCACCCAGGATGGCAGCCTTTGAGGCTTTGACTCGGACTCCTAGGGAAGCATGGGAGTCTCGGCCTGCGACCCCCCAGATGCCAATCAAGCCCCAGGACATGACTGACAGCACTGGTGACCCTGTTCAAGAGAATGACCTGGTCCAGGCCGTGCTTCAAGGTGGTGAGTCTCCCTGGGGACACGGAATCCCTTGACACTCAGGGTTTCTCCAGGAAATTCCCCTCAGGCTGGGCTGCTGCCTCCTGCCCTGTGTGAGGGCACTGGACACAAGGGTCAGTGGTGTGTTTTTATATACTCTCAAATCTGCAACACAGCCTTGGTAAGTGTTGCACTACCGCTCAGCTGAGGCACTAGTATTGGGTCAGGTTGGCTGCCTGGACCTCCCCATTTACCCTTGTTCCTATGGTTCATCCTCTGTGCCTACAGTCCCTAGATGCTCATGGCCATCACCCTTCTAGCTGGCTAGACAAGGACGTGGTGGGCTCATACAGACCCTGCCTGACATGGCCAAACTCTCTGATGGTCAAATCCATCAGCATTTGCATCCATATTGAGCTACCTGATGTTGGACTCAGTGTTCTTTTTTGTGCCAACCTGTGTCTCCCTTATTCTGTGATGACTTCAGTGAATTCAGGCAGTTTAGAATGCTTTTCAATACTCTCACTCAGTGTTCCAACTGTTGCCCTGTCCCGTTGTCCCACAGGGGCCATCTACATGCAAGCCTTCCAAGTGCTCCTGGTCCTGGGTACACACTTGACCTAGAAAATCTGCTCATGTTATGCTTCCTGTCAGGACATACAGAGGCATAGTGCGGTGACTTTTTGTGAAATGAGAAAGCTGTGGGCTTAAGAGCCTGGTCTTACAGAGACAAGTTGACTTGTGGGCTCATTGTGAGAGTAGGAGTTTCAAAGTGGCCTAAGTGGTTTACACCCCCTCATGTTGCAACAATGTGTGTTCTGCCCTGACCCAGTTGGAAGATGGCATTCCCCTGGCTCCCATAACATTATATAGGCCTGGCCAATGGCCTGGAAGTTTGCCTTTCCCGTCTGGGATGTCTGAGAGCCAGGAGCTTGTCTGTAGCTTAACCAGAGTAGAGGATATCCCCTTGGGTCATCGCCATGTGCCTGGCAACACTGACAGTGCCCTTCCCTGTTTGCTGTGATTTGCAGCTTCCCTACTGTCTTCTCTGGATGATGCTGATGCTTCTGACGTTCCCATGAACATGTAAGTCTATAGACCTTGGTGTCCCTCATGTGGCATGTACCCATGCTGACTCACTCATTCCTTCCTGAGTCATGGAGACAAAAGTGCCAGCTATCCTTCATGTCCCCATGGATCTCTGGTTACTCCCAAGTCTGCCTTGGAGACATTGTCTGGTTTGGCTCTGATCCAGCATTCCCAGCATGCAATTCTTTAGGCAATTCTCCCTCTGTGAGTGGAGGCCAGGCCCCCTTTTCCCTATGTCATTGCCCGTGCATGTTGAGCATCCTCCATGGCTGACATGAAATGTGACTTTAGGCCTGCCTTGAGCCAGAAGTCTCCCATGAGGAAATTACCTGTGAGCTGTACTGTGTCTGGCTGGAGAAACTGAGATACGGGAGGCTCCAGCTGTTCAGCAGGTGCACTTCCTGTGGGCAGGCAAACAGGCTTGAAGGGAAGTTTGCTGTTGGGTGTGGGTGACCCACAGCTAGAGCAGGCCTCCTCATTGGGTCTGGTGAGGGTGTTTGCATTTGTCATCAGAGGCCTTGGCTCACCCACCAGGCAGGTGCCCTCTCCCACTCTCACTTGCTCGCCCCCAGCCTCTCTAGCTACATCTTTGTCTGCACCTCACACAAGTGCAGGCAGCTACTCTCAAGACCCTGAGGGAAATGGTTTCTTGAGCTGTATTGCTCTGGCCAGGGAAGCTGTCTGAACCCTGGGAAGGCAGGACAGACACAGCTAATGTGCAGCATCACATTCATGGTCATCCCTTGCTTAATACCACAACAGGCCCAGCCAAGAACCACCCTGGATGGAAGCCAACATCGGGTCTTCTGGCTCCACTGGTGAAGCCTGGGGGTCTTGGCCCATGATGCCCAGGATGGCAGTAGAGCCCCAGCAGATGTCTAACATCAGCAGTGACCTCGTGCATGATGATCACCTGTGCTGGGCAGTCCTTCAGGGTGGTGAGTTTCCTTCAGGATACAAGGTGCCTTGACACCTGGGTCTCTAGGAAGTGCACCCTGGGCTGGGCTGCTGCCTCCTGCCCCTTGTGAGTGCAGCATGGCGCTAGTGTCAGTAGTTAGTGCGTGCAGACTGTCCAGTTTGAAGCAGAGCTTCACAAAGGGGATCTCCTCTCAGCCCAGGGCTCGTATCGGGTCATGCTTGGCTCTCTGGACCTCCACACTGAGCCTTGTTCCTGCAGTTTGGCTTATGTGCTCATGTTAGCACCCATCCAGCTGGCTAGACACAGATTTGGGCTCCTGCCAACCCCTGCCTGACACTCATGGCCTGGTGACACTCTGAAGGCCAAGGCCCTCAACATTTGCATCCACATCCTACCACCAGTTGTGGGCCTCAATTCTGTTGTGTTAGCCCTCTGGCCTCTCCCTTCTCAGAGGAGTGGACTTGATTCTGCCATCCAGAAGGCTCTCCTTCAGTGTTCCAGCAATGGCCCATTAACCTGTCCTCTCGCCAGCATCTGCAGCCTCCTCTGCCTCTCAGGGGACGCCCTGAGTTCCCTGTAGAGAGCAGTGTGCTCACCCTCTTGGGGGAAGTGTTTCCTGAGCTCCCCAGTCCTCTGGAAGGCTCCACCGGGCCTCAGTATTCCATCTCCAGGCATTCCATCTTAGACCTCTGCCACCTCACCGTGTGGGATAGCACCACCTGAGGCTTCTCAGGGGCTCGAGGTTGTGGTGGGCCAGAGGCTTCTACCCAGGGACAGGGTGTGACAGTGGGTGCCGTTCCACCCACCACTTTACATTGGTTTCCAGATGTCCTGAACCCAGAGTGCAGTTGCCAGAGTTACACCACATGAACAACACATCCCATGGTTCTTAGGTTCTCAGTGTGACTTCTTCTGTGTGATTTTTACTTCTAGTTTATGAACTGGATGAACAGGATGTGGCTGGTTCTCTTGATCCTGCCAACTTCAGGTATGTCTCCAAATTTTGTGGCCACAGATTCCCTTCAACTTTGGAGAATCTAAATGCAGGAAGGCAAACAGCACTGCTGCCACACTCACTATACCCACTCGTGCCCCTTTCCTAGTACTTTTAGAAACAGTGCTGTCGTGCTCACTTCGGCAGCAGATATACTAAAATAGGAACAATACAGGAACAGTGCTGTGTCTCAGCATGGCAGTACCCTCCATGTCCTATGTGCTTTTTCCCATTCTGTCCCTTGGACAGAGTCACTGGGCCAGCTGAGGTCATCTGGGCTTTTCAGGAAATACGGTCAGTTGTTGCCATGACCCTGCCACCTTCATGGCCAGGTGATGCCTTTCTGCCCTTTGTTTTGCCCACCTCTTGTTTTGCTTCCCATTGGTAGCATGAAGTTGGTTGGAGGCAAACCTCCGGGCATGGCATCAGATGGTCAGCAACAGACTTGGGACACACTTCTCTGTATTAGCACTCACCTGACTGAGACCGCACCATTCAGGCCA